TGCGTTTTTATGAAGCTGCCTTCAAATCATGCTTTTTCTAAAGTCAAGGCCCACAATAAATAAATACAGGATTCTGGTCGAGCGCTCTGGAAATCAGAACCCTGATCCAATGAGGGGCAAGGCAAGCAGAGGAAGAGAGGTGCCAACGGAGACGGTGGCCGCTGCTTCCCACCAAACACATAAAGCAAGTCACAACATATCAGTACGAAAACCGTGAGGTATACAACCAGCAACGTGCACTTCACTGGGGCAATCAGTCTTGCACCATTAATGAAGAGCACAGCGTCAAGAGAGTCACTGTTCTCACCACATTCCTCTTTCCAGGGGAAGCGCTTCAGCAAGAGATGCCAAAAAGTCCCCACTTAGTTTTAAGCATTTTTTCTCCATGTTCAAGCATTTTCTTGGGTTCATGGTGCAAATTAATTACCCAATTCTTCAACCACTAGCTATATTTTCTCCATACAAATTAACCTGTCATTGATAAAAACTGACAAAGGTTTGTGTAGAGACACATTAATTGGGGAGATAATTGGTGGGATCCTGAGCAGATTCCTCCAGATTGCATCTTGGTGCCCAAGGGAAGGCATCCCCATCATCTCATGGTAGGAATCATAGAACAGTAGAGCTGGAAGGGGCCATGAAGGGAGATCCTTGCACTGGTTTTCTTTCCCATAATATCATTGCCACCAGATTTTGCAGTGCATCTCAGTGAACCCAGAATCCTGTTCAACCACAGCTTATATTCTTGACTCAGTCCTGACTTAGGCTCTTGACTTAGTCCATGGATGCAAACTATTTCCTGCAAAGATGAACCTTAAAAAACCCCAACAACACATTTGTTCTCCATACTACTTTTCCTTAGCTCAAGCCCAACCTTCAGTTTAGCATTTTATATTTTAAAGAAAACCTTCACAATGCATGTTATTTTTGATCTGATAGTACTGGTTTGGGATGTCAGACTTACACTCAAAGGGCACCGTCCACCAAGGGGTGGTGTGCAGTAATTGTTCATTCCAACACGAGTACTTACTCGAGAGGAGTTTCCAGGAGATTATACTCAGACACAAACTTTGCATGGAAGCAGAACCTGTTTTCTAATTGCATCTTATTTAGCATAACGTATTTTGCAATTTGTCACCTCAGTGATGCCCTTCAAGTGCAGTGTGAGAGAAGGAAGGAATTAAAGAGATGAAACAATATAGTTCAGAAATATTGAAAGGTTAGCTGTCAGTTGCAAATTGCAGACAACCCCACCAATGTCCTTTCAACTTTTCCTCCTTAGACCAAATGGTGATCTTGAGAAAAGTTTTTCCCCTCCTTGTTTCTCCCACCCCTTTTTCTTGGAAGTTTTAAAAACAGTTCAGCAGAGCAATGTCTATGCTTCCTTGTTAAGGAAAACTTATTGGTTAAGGAAAAATCTGATTTCATGCATAGAAATAAAGCAAAGAGCTGAGGTCTTGATGTAAACACAATAGCTGGGTCCAAGGGGCTATTTTAGCAGCACACAGGAACTTCTAGGAATCTTTGGGAGGGTGTTTGCCTCCCCCCTGCCCCCCCCACACTTTTTGAATGGTACATCTGGAACTGCTTTGAATAGTACATTGGAAACTCCCTTCAGTGCACAGAACTAGTTGTGTTTCTCTCTGGACGTTGGCCAATGCATTTAAGTTTCAAAGCAGTGTGGAGCTGGGTTTTTTCAACATAAAATGCAGCCCTGCTGTTGATTCCCATCCTCCTACCAAAAACTGTGGGCTTCAGATGGAGAGCAAAGCAAAGCAGAGCAGAGCAAAAAGCAAAGCAAAGCAAAGCAAAGGAGTTTTGCTACAAGCTAGTCGACAAATCCCGGCTGATGCACTGAGAGAAGGAGTGACCAGCTCTCGGCTCAGCAGTGCCCGTAGCTCTCGTCGTCTCCCATGTACATCAGCCTTGGCTTGGGGTACTAAAGTAGCTCAGACGCACCGTGGTGTGGCAGTCCCATTGTGGCTTGACGGCTGTGCACCTTGGTCCACTGCTATCGTTTGCCCATCCGACATCAGCAGAACGTCAGCCAAGTGGCGCAGCTTCGCTGTGCAGAAGAAACTGTCAAGGGAACCGAGGCTGCTGATTGTTCCCGATTCTTCTAATGTCCAAGTCTTTCTCCCAGCCAGACCCAATGTTCCATTTTGCATGGAAGAGAAGTTTGGGTGCAATGGGCTCAGGTTTGGTGCTGTCTCATTCTTTTTCTTACAAAAACCTAAGGCAGTCATAATATTATTCCATGGGAGCCTGAGGAATTCTCCTCCTTTCGTTGACCCAAATCATTAGATACTCCATGGGTTGCAAGAAATACTCTTCCAGTGGGTGCACCTCGCCAAGCAAGTCATCTGGAGAGCTCTTTGGAGTGGGCTGGGGTTTCCCAAAATCTTAATGGACTCCCTTGCCTTGATCCCAAACAAACACACCTCAACGTGCCCCTTGTGGGTTCAGGAACAGCATCCATGGGTGGTACATTTCTGCCACTAGCACAAACGACTGTGCTTTGAAGAGTGAATTGTACTCTTGAATTGATGGGACAAGTAATGGTGCGACTTCCAGGCCATGACAAAACTGGCCTTTTGGACCTTTTTTTAACCTTCAGTCGATCTGTGCACTTTCCCTGCTTTGCCATTTTTAAACTTTCCACAGACTGTATTTATTCACACCTGTACCTGCAGGTACAGAGACAGGCGATAGCAGAACCAGCTGGACATGGGTAGTCACTCAACTAATGCAGGCACCAGCATCCGTTTCTTCTTCCACCGACGGCTTTCTAAGTTAATTATGGAGAGCACCCTTGAGCAGAAACTTGGAAACCCCTATCTTGTTCATTTTGAGAAAATGGCATGAAAAAACCAAATCTGTATGGGGACAGAAGCATGAAATGGGGACCAAGGGCACCCGCAGATCCAAGGGAGTTTGATAGTCCCTGTTTGACATTTTTTGAGTGGTTTGCTGAAATGGTAAATCCAACAGTTGACACAGCAGCTTGCAGTTCCACAAAACCTGGGCAGCTTAACATTACTGAACCGGACTTAATGCAGTCGCTCACATCCATTGACAGCAGAAGCAGACTTGTCCTCAGGAAAAGGTTGCCATCCATTTCAAATTCCATTATAATAGGGAAAATTAATGTCAATGGCTCCCTTATTTCTCCTAGAATCTGATTATTTCTTCTCAGGAACTTGCTGCTATTGTAACTTGGTTGAGCAAGGGAGGAGCCCCTGCTTCTTGAACTTGATCTAATTTATATGATCAATGTATTTGTGAATTTACCAGTAATAGTAATTTTCAAAATTTTAGTATGAGCACCACTGGGTTGAAAATGGAACTTCCAAAGCTATCTGGTAAGCAGAAAATACCCAGAATCTTTCTTCTGTTCTATTGACCAGTCTTTTACTGGTCCTGCAATACAGTCAATGTGAAATGCAGAATAATAAGAGTAATGAAATCATGATTTCCAGTAGTATCACCCCTGAGTATTTTCATCAAATTTCAGTAGGCACCTTCATTAAAAGCTTCTATAATTCTCAGTTTTGCTACAGGAACCAGCCCTCACTTTGGGGGCCAGATTGCTACTTAGACACACAGGCACACGCAAGTCAACATGCCAATCCTATGCAGGTTTACCTAGAAGTAAGCTCCACAGGGTGTTGCCTGGGCTTACTCCGTAGTAAATAAGCCTAAGATGGTTGCCAGATTGCATTAAATTCAAAACATGTAATAGATCCAGAGGCCCACCCTTGTCCTTGTGGGAGATCCGGGGAGGCTGCCCGGTCCCCCTGGAGCCCCGCAAGAGGGACTTTGGAGAGGTGCTTTGGAGCTTGGCCCAGTGCACACCTTCTTGCACATTTCACTTCTGCTCCAGTGCCAGTGCCAGTGGTCCAGCATCCTGCTGCTTTGGGCTGCAAAGGAAGCCCGGACATGGAGGAACCTCTTGCCAGAATGGAACTGTGCGGAGGACACCAGAGGACACCTTCCGGCATGATTTGTCTCCTGCACACGCCAAGCTAAAGCAGCAGCGCCCTTGTGCACTTCCACTCGTTCTGGGCTTAAGCGGGAGCCTGGGTTGCTCCCGAGGCCGCAGGAGACACGCTCTCTGACCGGCGGAGGAGGGCAAGTGAAAAGGCTCAAAGGGTGAGAAAAGGAGCCTCAACAGGCCTTCAACTTAACAGTCACGTTAAATGCACCGTTAGTGAGTTTGCCCCTCTACAGCTTTGGCAGGATCACCGCTTCCCCTCCTTCCTTGGAACACACAATGGCTTGCTCCACTCTTGCAGCCAAAATTAAACAGGAAGTGGCTAGGAGACACCTCCTGCAAGGAGAGGAAGTGCCTACACAAATATTGCAGAGAGATTTATGAGTGCAGGGCAGGCTACACAATGTCTGAAGATGCTACATTCCATTTAAAAAAAGTCGTGCTGCATTTCTTTTCTCTTTTTTTCCATTTAAAAGAAGATGAGGAGAAAAGGTCTACCTACTCCTTCAAAGAAATGGAAATAAAACAGACTGAGCAAGAAAAAAACCCTATTCAATTAGCATGCCACTTGCAATGGATTAACTGAGTCTGGTTGGAGATGATCCCAAGATGATTTATAGATGAAAAAGGGTTGACACCTTTTCAAAGGCAATTTGCTTTAAGGTGATGTAACAGTCTCAAAACTGAGAGTCAGTCATATGCCTTTTTATCATGGGTTTCTTTTCTTCCCCTCTTAATTCCTCCCCCACCACATTGTGGCATTTTCTCCTTCTGTGTTGCATGTAGAGTGAGTGAGGGACACACCTAAACTTACTTGAAGCAGTTTTCTCTTCTCGGAGAAGAAGGCAAAGAAGAAGAAGAAGAAGAAGAAGAAGAAGAAGAAGAAGAAGAAGAAGAAAAAGGAAGGGAGGTTGATGGGAGGAAAGACATGGAATATTTACAAACCATGCTACCGAGTGTTGTGACTGAGCAGGCTCTTCGTTGCTTCTTCTTTCCCCGGTCATCCTTAAGGACAAGAAGGACTTATGGAACTCTCTAGGGAGGACTGGGAGAGACGCCGTGTAAGGGGTCCGATGGTGGAGTCCGCCAGCGAGGAGGTGGGAAAGAGCTTGTACCAACCCGTCACTGCACTGGACAGGTCCAGCTCTTCTAGAACAATCTGGGCCATTCCCATGAAGCACTTGTGGTCCATGCGCCCATAGTCTCCCCAGACAATTACCTAAAAGGAACAAGGAAAAGGGGCTAAGGGCTGATCTGCCAGCAGAACCTAAAGTGGAAAACAAACATGAGGAAGACACTTTTCCCCACTGCAAGGCCATCTGGGAACAATGGGGAAGGATCCTGTCCCCACCCCCCTGTGCTACCCCCAGGTTTTCAGTGATATGGAATTAGCTCTGAATCTGCCTTTATTTCTGGTCAAGTCCTTTGTTCTTCAGATTGTTGTTACCACTATTATAAGCAGTTAACAAGAGGTAACTAATACTAATGCGATATAGGGGGCTGCTTTATGCAGTGTCAGAGCATTGGTTCATTTGCTCAGTATTGTCCACACTGGCTTTTTTAGGATTTTAATCAGAATCCTTTCCTAAGCCCTACCTGGATATGCTATGTAGCAAACCTGGGACCTGCATGACCACTAAGCTATAACCCTTAAACTAAGTCCCGCTGAGTTCAAAGGATATTACTCCTAGTTAAGCATGCATAAGAATTGCAATCTAAATGGTATGGGGCACAAAAAGGAAGCACTGGATTAAACCCTCAGTGTGGTCAGTATGAATGCCAAGCTATTTTCTAATTGCTTTGCACTGATTATTTTTGACCTGAGGATATTCTCGTGAAATAAGGACATCTAAATCCAATAAACAGCGAGGAAATAAATTCCCGCAGTTGAGGGATGTGCATGCTTTATTGTATTCCGTCAAAGATACTAGAGCACAAACATGGCAAATATCAGGAATGCAACAGCTTTTCTGCCTTCCTTGGAGGGTGAGGGTGAGGGCCCCCCTCCCCAAGTGCCACCAGGGCCTTCTTTGGAGGCAGAGGAGCTGTTCTCCGGGCATTCAGAGGCTGCTAGAAATGACTGGGCACACTGGTGGGGATGCTGTGTTCTCCAAGAGGAGGGGAAATGTTCACCTGCAGCATTTTGCCCTGAGGGCCCTCGTCGAACAGCAGGGCCTGCTGGTAGAGCGGGTCACAGGTCTTCTTGGCCGTCTTGGTTTTCTTCTTGGCCAAGCAGGCCCCGTTTTCTAGCAGGTAGACCTTAACATAGGTGGCTGCAAAGAGGTGGGAAGAAAAGTGGCTTGTTAGCATGGCTGCCATGCCCAGGGCTCCCTTCTGAGCCAGTCTGCGTTCCCCGAGGCACAGGAAAGCTTTTGCCAGGGAGGCGGGTGGAGCACTCAGTCCCAGTCCTGAGAATTCTCTCTTTGCCATGACTGTTAAGCTAACCTATCAAAAAGAAAGAAAGAGGGGAGATCCTAGTGAAGCTGATGGTGCTCAGAGTTTAGATAAGGAAAAACCGGAAACTAGGTGCGAGGTAGGACCCTGAAAAGCAAGAAAATATCCTTACATCAGAAGCACATCCTGAATATATTAATTTCCTTAGCTACTTCCCCGCAAATAGCAAATACACAGAGGCTGGGTTCAGATGACACGACAAGCCATGGTGATTTTTTTTACCATTGTTGATCTGTTGTATTGTCTGAACCCAGTAATGGTATTTCACCATCGTAAGTTTGGTCTTTAGAAACCATGATAAGAAACAATGGTTTGTTCTATGGTTTCTCTGGACCACCATGGCTTGTTGTGCTGTCTGGATACAGGATCATTATTTCCACTGTCCTGGCAGGCAACTACCACAGAGCCTCCGGGAAAGAGTGGCAACTGCAAGAGCCACTCCAGCCATCCAGCCTCTGTGTGCAGACCCATGAGGAAAGGGAGGTGACATCAGCAGGGAGTGATGCACCTTGGGACTGAATTGAATTGAATTAATTGAATTAAAATATTTCTACCCCATCCTTTGCAACAAGTCTCAGGACGGCTTTCTCAGCCTTCGAGGCTCCTACATGCCAACAGCTGGACTCCTGAGTGGGGAGGATGGAAACCATGGTAAAGTTGAAACCACTTGACTGTCGTCAGGTTGTTTTGTTATGCTCCATCAAGTCATCTCCAACTTACGGCAACCCCCTGAATGAAAGCCCTCCAGGAAATACGGTCCATGACAGCCTTGCTCAGCTCTTCCAAGTTCAACACTGTGACTTCCTTTATGGAGACAATCCATTGCAAATTTGGTCTTCCTTTTCTTCTTCTTGGTTGTCTTTTAGCATTCCTAATTTAGGTTTGAGTTTCCCTTGAATTTCTCAGATCTTCTGGAAGAGGCCTCTTGCTTTCCCTTATTATTGCTCTTTTCTATTTCTTTCCCCTGGTCATTATAATAGTTCTTTTTGTCTCTACAAGATTGTCCCTGAAAAGTCACATTCGGGATTCTGTCCCTATTTCTGTCACCTTTTGCTTCTTGCCTGTCCTTAGCAAATGTGTATGTTTCTTCTGACACCTGTCTAGGCTTTTGCTTTCTTTTTATTTATGCATTTACTATTTGTTTGTCTGACTGCAAATATCCCCTTCCAGTCCACTTTAGTTCACTCACACCAAATACTGCAATGTTCAACCATGCCACGTCCCGCTTTGCAGTTTCCAATTTGCCTTGGTTCACACGCCTCCCATTCTGTGTTCCAATTGCACGTGTTGTGCGGCATTGGACTCCCCTTTCAGCTCTGGGCATATCAGCCTCCAGACTTGCTTCCAGCTTGATGGTGACAGCAGTATTTGCACTTGCCCTTTGCTCTCCCCCTTGTGCAGCAGCTTGTTTGGTTCCTTCCCACCTGGGGGCCTCATCTTCTCTCACTGCCTCTTGCACCACCTGGGACTCTCTGATCTCTGGTCTTCACAGTGGTTTCCCACTGCCTTCTTTGGCGCAGTACTAAGCAGAGGTAGCCAGAGCGTCACCACCAAGGCCTGCAAAAGATCCCCCGCCACTGCTGCCCAGTGGCTGCCCCTCAGGGGTTTCCCCGCCCGCATCACCAGAAGGGCAATCCCTTTCTTCTGCTACCCCTGAAGAGGGTGGATGCATCTTAGCCGGGTGTCTCCGCCTTGACCCTCCTGCCTTGGGTGACCCTGCTAGGATTCCCAGGTGCGTACGAGAAACAGCCTGTTTTGGTGGGACTGATAGCTCAGACTCTGAGGATGAGGCAGGGATGGCTGAACCAACCAGGCTCTGAGCTCACACTCTGATGACAGAATTGTTGTTGCAATGGACAGGCCTGATCCTGCACACCTCCCCCCCGGCCCCCGCACACCCCCCACAGTGCCAGTCTCCGCCTGCCCTGGATGAAAGTAGCTCAAGGACAGCCACGGGGCCGGGTCTCCCTCCTGCCTGTGGGAACGAGGCAGACGAAGGGCGGGAGCAGGGAGAGTTCTCGGATTAAGAACACCAGCATCCTCAAGACGTGGACCTGAGGGCCCGTCATCACAGCCGCAGGCTGGACCAATTTGGGACGCAGAGCGTAGAGCGCAGGCGGGCCCAGTTCCACAGTGCCCCATCTTCCCGAGACAGGCCCCGAAGCGTTCACAAGCAAAGCTCTGGGTGAAGGGGGCAGAGAGGGGTCAACACTGCTCCTTGTGCAAGCTTGTGAATGACTAGATTGAGTAGATTTCCTGTGCAGAATGATGACTCTTACAAGGAGCGCCGGAGTGCCTGCCTTGCTTGGGAGGGGACGCCTAGGAGACCAGCCTGGTACGAGAGCCTGGCCTTGGGCAGGGCTCTCGGGTTCTCTGACACTCTCAAGCCCCTCCCCACATTAAGTGTGCAGCCCAGAAGGCGTGTCTGCCAGGTCGGTCGATCGATCGTGGTAGCTCCACAGGGCTGCTTGCTGGGTCGTGGCATCCAGGGAGAAAGTGGTTTAGCACCACTATTCAAGTGAGCTTCTAGAAACGGTCCCAGGCTCTTTTCATTTAAAGCAAACACAAGAAAAAATACCTCAGGCATCATGTTCCAGCCTGCAAACAGGTCCCTCGGCCTGCGGCGCCCTCTTGCCCCCCTTTGCAGCGCCGGCTCAAGATGTCTTGGTGGCCCCAGGGGAAAAGTTAGTGCGTCTCCCACCAGTGAGGGCGGCGCATAGGGCCAAGCATGCAAGCAACGTAGCCAGACAGTGCTGGGCACGTGCCCCCTAACAAGCAAATGTGTCCCCTAACCCACCATACATGCTGCTGACACCAGTCCTGATCAGGTCTCACAACTCGGAAGCATGCTGAGCTATGCTCAGCTCTTCCAGGTGAGCCCCGAGGCTGACAGACGTTTGCATCTATGGTATTTCAGGAACCAAGAATAGAGAAGACACCCAACTTGGGTGCGGATGGGTGAACCGCTCTGGTTCTCCGTCTTCCGAAGGACGGAGAAGATGCCTGATGCACCTACTCACCAGGAATGGACTTGGAGCCCAGCTTTGGAGTGAGTCCTCGGGCTTCTATCACTTCCACCTGCAGCTGCCCATTCCTGTCGATCATCCCAAGGTGGACATCACCTAGGAAACCGGAGAAAAGTCACAGTGGGAACAACTTCACAGGTTTGCACCAGCCGTGGCTGATCATAGGAACATGTGATGCATCTGCCGTATATCCAGATTTAGATGACCCTGTGAAGTGCTGGAGCCATGGAATAGCTGCAGACTGTTTATTTACTTATTTATTCATTAAACTTAAATTCTGCACTAGTCACCTTGTAGGACTCTCTAGGTGGATTAGAAACAGAAACAGAGCAAGTCAGAAGGGGTCTCCTGGGCCATCTGGTCTGACCCCTGGCTCCAGCCGGCTCTGCTCACAACATGCCCACCATGTGCATGTCTAGTCTATCTTTGAACACCCTCACCGATGGGGCCTCAACGACCTCCTGTGGAGGTCTATTCCATACCCTGGGGATCCTAACCATCGGGAACTACTTCCTGGCATCCAAATTGAACCTGGGTTCCCTGAGCTTTGCTCCACTGTAATGCATCCTGCCCTCATCCACAGGGGAAAAAAGGCCATGACCCACCTCTGCGTGACATGATGACAACAGTGAAACAACAAAACAATATCTCATAAACCAGTGCGATAACAGTGGAAGAGCGGCGCTACAGCGCCACCTTCAAGCCCTCCTTTGACATCAATGAGAAATGTTGGCCACAACTTGGCTTGCCTCATTCACTTCATAAGATAAAGGAAAAAGCAGCAAAACATCACTCGCGGGCATCTGCCCTGGGAAGGAATTTCTCTCAGCCCCAAAGCTGAACTAGACTTCAAAGATGCTCTGGGACAGGAGGCAGGGCCAAAAGTTTGTTTCTTTTTAAAAAAATTGAAATGCAAACAAATCCATCATATTTTAGGTTAAAGCTTTTACAACCAATAACTCAGATTTCTGAGAGGCATTTCAACTTTCTAAAAGGAGGAAAAAGCTGCAAAAAGGCAGGGAAATTACCATATAATAGGTTGTTGGAGGGAGAGGCCATCTAGGGAACTCTGGTGGATTGAATTTGGTCCCAGCCAGACTAGGATCAGGCCTGAGCTGGAGCTTCTGATCCTGGCTTAAGCAGTTGTCACTTTTTTGCTTAGAAAAATGAAAATTCTAGAACTTAAGGGATGCATCACCCTATGGAATTGATTGGAAAAAAATTCAGAATGGAGCAACAGGTGGGCTTCCATCATGCAGCAGATAATTAACCCTAAGTAGCTTGTTAGACAGATTTAGGAATTAGACAGGCTTATTGGTGACTACTGTGCTCCACAGGAAAAATCGGAAGATCCTTGCTTGGAGACTGTATGAGAATTGAGATATGGCAGGGAAGGACTAAGAATGTGAGGTGGAAATTCCTTTTTCTGAATTTGCCGGGAACCTGCCTGGGGCTTAAAGGCAAGGGTTGGATGGTTGCTGGTGAGAAGGAGCCACAGGGGCTTCCTTCCCCTGCCCCAGCATGCCAGTTGCACGTCTCACAATCTTCCCAGCTACCCACACAGCACAAGGCTTCCTGTGTCAACAGAACCCGGTGGGATGCACCGACAGGGCAGCTTTGACCCCACCCAGAAACCAGGCGTGTGTAGAGTCCGGGTGGACTTGTGGCCCTCTGTTGCCAGGCACTCGCTGGGTCTGGGTGGCACAGGAGCCAGCATGTCAAGGGGGCAACAAGGGAAGTTCTGTGACCTGCGCCCACAAGTGCCGTTGGCCCACGAGCATCCGAACTCAGCCACTGCCTCACACCTGAACTGAATTTCGGGACCGTGCTACTGCTGTGCCTGATAGGGCTGCATGGATGTGCAGAGCATCACTGATGCTCCCACCGAACATTTGCTTCATTTCATTTATTACATTTCCGTACCATCCCTAAGTCAAAGGTCCTTTCCATGCCCTGCTGGGGAAGCATCCAGCTGCTGAGAAAACAATCAGGCGGTCGCCGGGTTGCCCTGACCCAGCCTGGCAGTTCAGGCATTTCCGACACAAAGGGAAGCAGCATGCTTTGGAGGGTTTCACCAGCATGATTAGGGTCTGGGCTGTTGGAGCAACCCTGAGAGTCTCAGTGGGGGCGGGGGGGGGCTTTTTTGTGGAATAACCTTCTTGCTGCCGTCCACAAGGCACCAAATTTGCCATCGTTTCAGGCAGCCCTCCTTGCAGAGGCCCTTAAAGACCTCCCTAGTCATTCAACAGCCTGACACAATTATCCAGGTACCTTTCTTTTACTCTTGGACACATCTTGTTATTCTCTCTCTCTCTCTCTCTCTCTCTCTCTCTCTCTCTCTCTCTCTCTCTCTGCTATTTTAAGATAACGTTTGTGAGAGAGGGAGAATTACTGTTACTAAGCACAAGAATGATGGATTGCTAAAGACCAGAGCAAAAGACCCTTGTAAGGTCAAAGACCAGAGTAAGGAGTTGTATAAAGAGATGTGTAAATAAGAAGTAGAAGAAAATAGGCAGGTTTAAATCAGTTACTGATGTAAACAAATAATGGTGGGCTAATAGTATGTGGTATGGCTGAGTCTGAACACAAGAGAAGTGGCAGAAGAGTGCTGAGAGTCGGGACCCCGAGGGTGGGAATGGGCTTCCCCGGGAGGTCGTTGAGGCCCCATCGGTGTGGGTGTCCAAGGACAGGCTGGACATGCACATGGTGGGCATGTCGTGAGCGGAGCTGGCTGGTGCTAGAGGTCAGACTAGATGGCCCGGGAGGCCCCTTCTGACTTGCTCTGTTTCTCTGTTTCTTACATCAAAGTTCTGAAGAACACAAATTCTGAAGTGGGGTCGAGGGCATTGGTTAAACCATTACTTTTGCAGAAGACGGTAGGTAATTGTCTTTTACAGCTGGCCATCCTATGTAAGGGAGAAGGAGATAATGAGCTTGGAAGAAGGGCTGTTCTTCTATCTCATCCTCCCACAAGTTTTGGGAGATAAGTGGCCATCAAGCGAGACAGCTACAAGGCCAAGACGACCTATTGACTTATAGTAAGTAGTGCGCACGCTTAATAGGCTTATGAATAGTAACTGACACACCTCTCATAGGTAATGGGCTCATTAGCATGAACATGGGATGTATGAGCGGGAGGGGGAACATACTGAGGGGTAGCATGATGTAGGCGGACGGAGAAGATTGTGACCTCTTAGTAACCCAGCCAGTGGGAGAAAAGAGGCAGGGTCTGCGAGCCAGGAAAAGGGAATACAAGGCAAAGCCTTTTGTGGAAACAGCGCGCTGCCTGTGTGGTGGGCGCCCGCTCTTGCAAGAGCGTATTAAACTATTACTGCTTGGTACTTTGCCTCCCGTATCGTCACTGCTTGGAATTTCATTCCTAACACGTTTGATTCTTGCTCATGTTTTTCCTACTGTATTTTATTGTATTTATACTCTATTGTAAATCACCCAAAGAGTGTTGGCTGTGGGCGGTATAGAAATGCAATGCAGTCATGAGAAGAACACGCGCCACTCCACAAGTCTGCTGCATCCGCCACAGTGCTCGAGCAAGTTGTAGAGAAATGATTAGCAAGCAAGCACAGGTCAAGGAGAAACCTATGCTGACCCCATGCCGGAATGATAATTGCATAAAGCAAATTAACCTTCCTCGCCGCTGGCTTATTTTTGCGGGCTGTGCTACCCAGCTTCCTAGAATGCCCCTGCTCATTGTGGACAGGCGGGAGGGCCAGCCCATTTCCAGACACCAGCCCAGAGAACAACTCTGGGGCCCTCCTACAGGCCTCCTTCCCCGGCCGCAGCCTCGTGGGGAGAGCAGAGGCGCAGCCCGGCGCCCGGCCGCCCGCGGGAACGGGGCCCGCAGAGCCGCCTCTGCCTGCACTTCCCGCTTTCACCAGCAGGGCGCACGCGAGAGCCAGCGCTCGCTGTTGTCAGGCGCACGAAAGCGGGAAGGGGCCGCCTGCCGAGGGCGGGGATCGTGCGTAGCACTAGCGCAGTTGCCGGCAGAGGGTGTGAGCTTTCAGGCACAGGCAGAAAGGCAAAACGACGACATGTGAACAACATCGCTCCTGTACCAAGGGTGCCCTCATGTTCCTGAGGAGACTCTGCTACTGGGAACAGGCCTGGAAACCTCAAGAAGTTTCCCCTTTTTAAAAAGAGCCCTGAGTGGCTTTCATCATTCTCCTCCGGCTGCTCTCGGTCTTATCCCCACAGCAGCAGCCCGGTGAGGTAGGTTGGGCTGACAGTCTGTGACTCACCCAAAGGCACCCTGTGAGCTCCATGGCAGAGTGGGCACTGGAGCCCAGGACACCTGAGCCCCAGCCCCACGCTCCTAGCCACTGCCCCACACTGGTTCTTTAACAAGTGGCTGTAAGTGACCCTTCCTACCAAATAACGATACAAAGGTTTGAGGCACTTCAGTGGTGCGTGCTTTGGTGGATCACCCTTGACTTCGGCAGGTGCACGGGATGCTTTTCTCCATTAAGAAGGACCTGACAGTACTGAACAATAACGGTCCTTGGTGTCTGGAAGCACTGCAGTAGAGGTGACTCTAAGCATGCACAGACTGCCTTTCCCCCCTTGCTAAGCGACCACATTCACCACTGGCATAAAATAGGTTAAAGGGGTGCTAAAAGGGAAGGCCTCCAGGCAGGCTGGATGCTTCCAGAATCCACCCTTTTCAAAGTCAGCAACTGGGCAGGAACTTCCTATCAGACATGACGTGGTGGGGAGCGATGCGTGGCTGGAGTCAAACACCTGCAAACCTCCGTTCTGATGCAGGATAATAAAGCACCCCACCAAAGCGTGTTTTCTGAGGGGTGGGTTGTACCCCATAGCAATAATGTGATTGACACCCAGCAGTCACTCAACCCATCTGCAAAGCACTTATAAAGGGGTTTGTGCTGTGGGCACAGAGAAGCCTGTTAATAACCACTAGCAGCTTAGGGAGGACATTGCCTCCTGGGCCTTGTAGCCGCTCGTGTGCTTCAGCCTGCGGCTTGCACAGGTGAGCACCTGTGCCTTCTCGGCCTCGCCTGCCGCAGCCTGAGCTGTCGCTCCTCAGCTCAGCCGCTTCATGGACCCCCAGCGTCACCGAATGGCAACCGCACAAGACCGAGCGGTGGCTCTGTGAGGGGGGGGGGTGCCCAGAATCTCCAAGGTCCACTCACCCATCGGAGGCGTGGCCAGCGTCTGCCGCCCCACAATTTGTGCCGGCCCCAGTCCATCCAAGAAGTCGCTGAACTGGCTTTCAGCTCCCAGTCTAGTTGTGGGGAAAATGAACCTGAAGGAAAAGGTGAGGAGAGGAGAGGAGAGGAGAGGCAGGGCATGAGGAGAGGCCAAGCAGCTAAACATTCGGTGGGTCAGCGCCGGATGCTTCCACGGAGCGGGAGGAGGAGCGATTCTGCTCCCGACCTCAGTGCTTGCCCAGAGGGGCAGCTCTCTGAATTCTCTGCAGCAAGAACAGAGGCGTTGTGGCCTATACACCAGGCAACAAATCCCCCCTCCACCTTCAGGCCCAGCCCGAAAGGGTGAAGTGGCACCCCCGGTATTACACCCCCAGATGCAGTGAGCAACGAATTGCGGCCCTGCACCACATAAGCCTCTCCCTCTCCCATGTTATTCTACCAACCAGGTGATCATTTGCAGAGGCTGGTGCAAGAGGCATTTCTGCAGCTGATAACAGAGAGAGGGGAGTGGAAGAGCGGCCAGCACAGACGGTTCCTTGCTGTTGGAGGCTCCCAGACAGGTCTCCTGTTTGTCTGTCATGTCAAAACACCACCAGCAGCCAGGAAGCTGCTTCAAAATGCCAGCCCTGCAAGGAGCCCTCGCCTCTCTCCCCCGTGGTTCTGTCGGGAGCATTTGCTCCAGGCCTTACATGCCATCAGTGGGGCTTACGTGCCGTCGGAGCTGTTACTGTTGGTGCTTCCGTCTGTAGACTCTCGGCTGCCTTGCCGGGTGACCCTATTCCTCATCTCCACAGCGATGCCGGTCTCTGTACTGCGGCGGATGTTGCTGCGGAGTTTCTTTGGGCCGCCATCTGGAAGGACAGAAGCAGGTCAGGGTGCAAGAGGAATGCCAAAGCGCACACAGTTTGATTCTTATCGGTCCCCAGATGCCAAGCCAAGACACCCCATTTCCAAAAGACCACAGAGGCGGGACCAGCCCAAAGTATGCTGTTACTATGAATATTCTGCCTAATGACAGGGCCGGCTCCACCTAAACATCTAACAAATTAATGAGAATTGCTGACTTGAGCACTGATTCCCCACACTGTTATGTATGGAAGAGTTGATATTACACTTCTCCACTTGAAAATTCATGATGGTCAGGGATATCCCCATATATTTAGGCTACAGTTCTGTACATGTTTACCCCACAATGGTGCAGCTGAGCAAATTTTAACCCGGGTCTAGAGTGTCGGTACCTGGCGTTGGGCGATCAAGACAGATTAGGGATTCTGCTGGTGTACCGTGCACCCTTCTGCCCATCAGACTCCCTGCCTGAGCCGATGGAGATCGTCTCAGACCTGGTCTTGAGGACCCCCAGGATGTCGGTTCTGGGGGACTTCAATCTCCATGCCAAGAATGTTCTGACCGGGGCGGCTCAGGACTTCATGGCTTCCATGGGGCTGTCACAACATGTCCAGCACAGCCCATGAAAGAGGTCACACTCTGGCGAAGGGGCAGGAAGATGGTGATCTGGAAGTGAGACACTTGTGTTTAACTCCTTTGTCATGGTCAGATCACTTCCTTGTGAGGTTTGAGCTTGGGGTCAACCTTCCCCTCCGTAAGGTGTGAACCCTATTAAGAGGGTCCACCCCCGGAGCCATATGGACCCTGATGGATTCCTGAGGGCTCTGGGGGGTTTTCCAGTTGAAAAAACTGGTCCTCCTGTCAATGCTCTGGTTGATTTGTGGAGTGGGGAAATGACCAGGGCAATCAACACGATCGCTCCTAAGCATCCTCTCCCACCAGGCAGAGCCCGCTCATCACCATGGTATACACCTGAGTTACAGGCGATGAAGCAGGCTGGGAGACGATTAGAGTGCAGGTGGAGGAAATCACGGGATGAATCTGACTGAACACGCTTAAGTGCTCATTATCGAGCCTATGCTGTGGCGATGAGGGTGGCGAAGAGGCAATTCTTCTCTGCTTCCATTGCTTCCTCACAGTGCCATCCAGCAGAGCTTTGTCGAGTGGTGCATGGCGTGATGAACTCTGGCCCTAAAAAGGATCCAGTGGCACCATCGAGAGCCTGCGGTGACGATTTTGCCCAGCATTTTAAGGAGGAAATTGCTCAGATTTGTCACAAGCTGGATTCCTCAGTTGATAGGATTCCATTACAGGAAGCATCCAGAGTTCCACTGGGTCCATCATTGTTGGATGAATTCCAGTTGCTGCGGCCTGATGATGTGGACAAGGTGCTTGGACTGGCACACCCCACCACCTGCTTGCTCGCCCCTTGCCCTTCATGGCACCAGGTCAAGACCTTTTTATTTTCCCGTAATTTCAATGTTTAAATAATTTAACTATGTTTTATGCTCCGTCATGGATTATTATGGATGATTTGGGTTTATATGCATTTTTGGATGTTGATTTGTAAGCTGTCCAGAGATGCACAATGTAATTGGATGGGATAAAAATACCCAAATAAGTTAGTGTGTACCCCCTCAGGGAAACTGGGCATAGCTTCAGAAGTAAAGCACGCCAATAACATTTCCGTTCTCCCCCGCTTTACCCCACCATCCCGTGCGATGCAGCTTGCTTTCTGTTGCCAACTCTGGTTGTCTTTTTTTTAAAGAATCCCTCTGGGCACATGCAGTTCCTCATGCCACCAGGAGAGAGTCTGTTTCTGCTCCCCGCATCGCCTGTGCTTCTCGGGGAGGGGGGTCATTTGGGGCATGCTGGGCTGCGGGGCTCTGCACTTTGGCCTCAAACTCTGCTTGACAAAACGGCTCCGAGAAACCGGCGACAAGCAGCCAACCTCGGCATTGACAGAGGAGCATTTGGAGGGGCAAATCTTCTCCCAGAGCTTCCTTCCCCTCGAAGTGCATCAGTAATCCCAGCAGAGTTATTTGCTGCCTGAACCCCAGCAAGCCACGTTCCGCTCCGTGCTCTGTGTTTACCTGCCTGTTGCTGCTGACCTTTCCTCGAGTGGACAGTTTCCCTGCCGCGTGGGCGCCCAGGCTCTGCGAGGGCCGGAATGAAAGCCGGGCTCGATGAGAGCGAAGCAGCTCTGCATGGCACCCTCCCGATGGCAGGTTTCTGATCCTGCTTTCTTGCCAGCCTGCACAAATCCTGACCCTTTAATCAATTATTCAGAGGGATTCATGCGGCCGGTTTAGAAAGTGTGTTCCAAAGCCCTTTAATGTGCTTGGCTGCTCCCTCGGTGAGGAAGCCGTTCCAGGGCTGTCGCGAGCAAGCGCATCACCAGCACGGCATCGCTTGGTCCTGGTGCCCGCGCAGGACGTGGCCCTGCATCTCGGGATGCTTGGAGTGGCTGTGGGGGGGGGGGGGCGCGGTGTACAGCCCCCGAACGGCTGAGACTTCAGGCCCAGCTTCTGCATGTGTAGCAACAGAGGTGGTAGGTCGGGGTCAGAACCAACTTAACTCAGCAGCAGCCACGGTGTTGTTGAACCTCGGAATGGCAAGGAGGAGAGATTTTAATAACTGTTTCATTAACAACCCAGCTTTGTGGCAAGTGAATCTGGAAACCCTTGAATTGCTTATGGGATGAGCAATGCAGAGATATGTCCCTGCTGCTACAAATGAGGAAGTTCGGCTTGAAAGCTCAGTGGTTGGGGACATGTACCCCGTACATGCCCAGACATCCTCTGATCTTACTATGTAAACCAGGAACTGCTGCCATGATGTACAAACAGGCTCCGTAGTCGAAATATGCAGCATGCAGCTGCCCCGCGCTCTCTTACTCGCAGGCCTGATATAAATTGGGACCACGGCACAAGTGCCTTCCCGCCAGCCACACCTTCTCCAGCATCAGCTTTCTTCCCCCAGGTCCAGCCTGAAACGAGCCTCCTTGGGCAGCCGACAGAGTCGCCCGGCTCGGTTGTCCTGGCACAGTCGCACCCGCATCAGCTGGGTCGGACTGAGCTGTCTGCGGCGGCTGCGCGTGTCTCTGGAGCAAGCGGCTGGGTTAATGGCATGTTGCTGCCCGGCCGCTTCTCGCTGCTGAGCTTTGGGGAAAGGGGGGGCTGCAAGGCCGTGACCCCTCCAGGGGTGCAGTCGCTCCCCTCCGTGCTCCGTTCAGCCACGCAAACCTAGGTTGCAATCCATGGTGGCTCGGCACCTACGGCTTGGCTGGTCCGAGGGCAACAGGCCACGCCAAGAGACCGCAGGGGCTCTTGCATCCACAGGGGGTTCTCGGATCATCTGAGCCCAGGACGTCAGCCCTAATGCGGCTATGGGGGTTGGCTAGATCGGGGGGGTGGGGGGGAACGGGACCAGGCTCTTTTGCTGCTCCTGCCAAGTTTGCCTGGGCATCCCATAATACCAGCTGCCTCACTGAGGGGATGTCCAGTGGAGAGATCTTCAGCCTTCACGCTGCAGCCTGCCCAGCACAAAACCTGCCATCTTTTCGGCACCAGGTCACCACAGCCCTTTATGCTGAGGCCTTTAAAAATCTGCTTAGCTACTCAGGGGCATGAAGGGATTACTCACCCCAGCTGCCCTTTCTTTTACAGGCTCAGTTTTGCTGTTTCTTTGAGCTGCTTTCAATTCATTTTAATGCTGCTCTGCTTTCATCGTACTTGTATTACGTTTCTATTTTGTCTGTATGCATTGTTGTAAAGTACCTAGGTGTTGTGGTATGGAATTTTTTTTTTTTGTGTGTGTTAGTTTATATCCTGCTTTTTTTCTTACAAAGAACTCATAGTGCCTTACATCATTCTCTTCCTCCTCCTCTCCATCTTATCCTGACAACAACAACCCTGTGAGGTAGGTTGGGCTGGGAGTCTGTGCCAGGACCGAGAGTCTGTGCCCAAAGTCACCCAGTTGGCTTCTTGGCTGAGCGGGGAGTAGACTGGCTGAGTCCCAGACCCACACTCTTAGCCATTGTACCACACTGGCTCTTGGACAAAAAAATAAAGGTTATACACCAATGGAATCTGGTCGTCTTTCTACCCTCTGCACCAAGGCCATGGGCCAGCTTTGGTTCACTGCCGCATTTCCCCAAAGAAACCAAAAACAAAAAACCTCCCATTTTGTCAGCCTCTGGCTTCCAAAGGAGGGTGGGATCCCCAAGCTGGAGTGAGCACATTGCACACTATGCTACTTTGGGGGCTCCCTTCTGAGCTGAGCCCAGAACGCTCACCCACCCACCCCCTTCCTTGGACAGGGTGGCTTTGCTCCTTTTTGCCCCTGCGTCCTCCTGATCGACTCCCAACACTCGTGCCGTGCTCGGGGCCTCGACCGCAAGCTGCTGAGGTTAGCTACAGATCATGTGAAGAGGCCTCACGCAGACTGGCCTGCTGCCTGGCCTCTGGAGAATCCCAAATAAAGGAGCTATTTTTAAACCCTTCCAGCTCCAAAGGCAGCTGCTGAGAGCATCCCTGAAGTACCTCGGAGCTGCCGAGGAGAGGGAAAGCTGTGCCACCCTCTGGGTTTGTGGCAACCGGGCTCAGTTCAGCTGTGGGCAGTGGGGTTGCCCAAACGGGTCTGGAAACGGCCAGCTGCCTCCTGGATCTATGTGCTGAATGAGGACTGGGTCCTGCCCTGAGGAGCAGCCCAGAGTTGCAGCTCTCACTCCTGAACTGTACCTGCACAGCACTCCTCTAGGAAAGGTGCAGGATCAGGCCAGGCTGCTTTTTCCCTCATCCTTGCATGGTCAGTGCGGTGGGCTGCAGGGCCATTTCTCCCCACCCGCCACACTTCTGCCACCTAGCAGGTCAAAACCTCCCTTCAGTGGCAAGATGCTTGAAATGTGCTAAAGCGCTCCCAAGGTCCTGCCAGCAAGTGGTTTGTGGCCGTTGCTGCATGCTGTGGCAACCATTTGCAGGGAAAACTGAGCAGGTCCTTTGCC